TCAATACCAGCCGTTAACGCCTGCTGATGTCTATGTATGCATCTAACTTTACCTGTTTTCATGGGAATTGCTTCTATCTCCAGCTCTACAAATTCTCTTCTTAGAGCTTAGGGTAAACCAAATCCGTTTTTTTAACCATGAGCAGAGAGTACTAGAAGCTTGAAAGAAAAGGTGCTTTTCTGAATGTGAATGCTACTCTGTTAGAAGCAGGTTATATACACAGTTCTCAATCATCTGTTTCCCATAAGGGAAGCTGTAGTTGATTTTTTAAACATGCTCAGATATAGGTGAGAGTCACAGAGGCCTGTCAGTTTGATTTTATAAGTGTATTAAATTTAACCGGTTAGGTAATAAAGCTGCTCACAAAACCCAGAAACAAAAGACTGATTATGGAAGTCAGTTTATTTTTAATCCTGACAATAATCCATTATTTTGGACAATACCGGCATACATAACCAGAAACCAAGATAGTTTCCCCCTCGCAGCTCCTCAGGCAGTAAGATTCACGTTCAGACCAGGAAAGAGAGAAAATCACATTATCCTGTGAGGTCGACGCCTCTGCAGGCTTCTGCGCAGCTTGGAATCCTCCCACCATCAAAACCCAACTCCCATCTCCCACCCCTACTCTATCATTGCTTTGACCGGAATTGTTTATTATTTGAGGAGGTGGAGCTTAAAGTTGTTCTGTAATTATCTTCATCTCCCTTAAAGTGGGCTCCATAAAATGTCTCTGGCATTCTTAGATGGAAAGGTATGGATAATGTTGCCCAATTTATATTAATTTGAAATAGTTCCTATAAATCATCACCTTTAGGAAACAAGCACATTTGCATACTGTGCAGATGAAATATGAATGACTGCAAAAACCACAATACTGTCATTGTGATCCTCAGTGGCTGGGTCAGTCACAAATAACCAGAGAAAGTTAAATTCCAGATCACTGGTAAATTTCCCAGAATAAAAATTCTGAGATATAACACAGTGTAAATTAAGGCATGCACTCTGGTTTATCCCTCTTTCTAGAACAGATTACTTCATGGGAAAGGGTAAAAAACAAATTTTCGTAACCCAAATCCTAAAAAACAATGTCTCATTTTTGCATATTGTTTTACACTTTTAAAAGCATTTGAATATGCTTCTCAGGTAAACCTCTCTCTCAGCATCTCTGCTAGTGATGAGAATTATGGGAACCTGAAGCATGTAAGTGATTTGTCTAGGCACACAGAGAGTAGGGGAGTGGAGGCTCCAGGCCAAGTCCACAGATTTCTTCTGTTTAGGGAAGATACCTGCCTCATTTTGTGATATAAAGAAATTCTTTGAAATACAATGATACCCTAATTTTCCATGTTAGAAAATCTTGAGTTTTCATGTTGGTTTATTTAAAGCAGGATATGCCTGTAAGTATGCTATGTTTTTTGTTTGCTTTCTTTTTTTCTGTTTTTGGAGAAGGGCATGGCTGAGTTATTACATATGTTTAGTAGTTATTGCATGTTTATTATATATTTTATCCTCTGAAGAGAAAATGACTTGCCTTAGATGAGATTAGTTTCCATCCTGATTAATATATATATATATATATATTTAAAATTTCCACACAGTTCAAAATTTCTTTAAAATCTTAGAATAGAGGGACGACTGGGTGTCTCAGTCGGTTAAGTGTCTGCCTTCGGCTCAGGTCATGATCTCAGGGTCCTGGGATCAAGCCCCACATCAGGCTCTCTACTCAGCCGGGAGAGTCTGCTTTTCTTTCGTACTTCCTCTGTGCTCTCCCCCTCTCTCTCTCAAATAAATAGATAAAATCTTTTAAAAGAAAAATAAAATCTTAGAATACATTTGCTAATTCATCTTTAAGCCCCTATACTGATGGCAAGCTCATGACTGCCTAGGCAACAGCGTGCATTGCTTGTTGTTTGAGATTGGCCTTTTAACCAGAGAAACCGGCAAGCTAAATATCAGGAGTCATAGCCTTTCTAGCACAGGAAGAGAGTCTGTGGTTTAAAGATCCAAGCTTATTTTATTCCTTGTTCCCAACTGTGTTATAGTTATTTTGGGAACCAGTAAACTGGTCTTGGTTCATTCATCTGAAAACTTCCTTATAAGGACTATGTCAGCAAATAAAGAATTAATAGAGTATTTGGGATTGCCCAGGTGAAGATTCTAGAGGAAAGAGAATGATTGCTTTTGGTTTTCCTATCAAAACCTATGATAATGATCCCTCCAGGGCTTTGGTAAATGGCAGTTTCAGAAAAACTGCAGTGCAGTCAAACAGCAGAGACCAGTGGAAATGAGGAACCCGGAGTTCAAACGTGATACAAAATTGCTTTGCAATCTAAAGCAATTATTTAGGTTTCCCTGTTTATAAAGGAGATGATAGGAGCGGCTCTGCATCACAGAATATTGGAAAGAAACAAAATAATCTGAGCTCTTTAAAGAAAAGTAATATTGAGATACAAGGAATTCATATAAGTTGCTTTAAAAAGCCTTACAGCCTCCAGCAACAATGTGAGTTAAACCTTTTACTTCAATAGGTCTGATTATAAAACTCACTGATTAGCTATTTTGATAGGATACGTTGTTTCACTGGATCTTTTCCAAAGATTCTTACACATTTAAAAAAAATCCTTGCAGGAATCTCAGCTTGAAAATGGAAGTTGTCCCCTATTAACTGTTCCTGAATGTCTGCCTGGAAGTAGGGCAGGGGTAATCCTTAATACTGCAGGTGATAATGGGCTAGAGGGGCCCAGGAAAAAAACTTCCATGGGTTTTTAAAATTGCACCCTTACATCATCTGTCATGTAACTGGAATTAATAGTTCTAGCTACCATCCACATATGTCATTAGTATTTTCCCATTCTAGATTGTCCCTGACTCATATATTCAGTTTTCATATAATCTAAAATTCTGAAACGACTTTTTTGAGAGACCGTAAATTTGATTTCTACATCTCCAGTGCTGAGAGCACCCTAGTCCCCAGACCTTTCAGCATGAGAGCCAAGATGTTCCCTGGACCTGCCCAGCCAGCCACCTTTTCCACACCAGCCAGTATGGCCTGCTGCCCTGCTTTTCTGACAGCCTGGGGTGGGGAGTCGGGGTGACAGAAGGACCACTGAGGGCAGAGTTGGGGCCTAGGACAGCCTCAGCTAGCCGGCACATTGAGCAGGAGCCCCAGGCGGGCATGGAGATTTAAGTCCTTATGGCATTGCCGCCTTTGCTCTGGGGTTGTAAAGAATTCCTTTCCCTCATTCTGTGTGTAGGTTCCAGATGTTCTCTATCATTGAGGTTAAAACTTAAGGGGCTACCTGACCTTTTGCCTGATCTTAGGGAGAAATCAGACCTCTAGAAACAGGAGATACCTGGCTTACCTCAACTTCCCTGGTCTATAGAAAGGTGACAGTTACAAGCCTGCCTCCCCCCAGAACCCTTTGAGGCCTGAAACTGTTTACCAGCCAGGTTGTTTGGCTCCAGGAAATAAGACACGTGTACAAACATAATTTGGGATGGATTCATACTTTTTAGTCCTCTCCCCACAACCATCTCCCCTCCCCCTCAAAATATGTGATTCTATTAAAAAAATGTGAATCTATCGCTAGCCTTTGAAATTTTGACTTTATAACAATCTTGCTGGGAGAGTATGTTGGTATGTTCCAATCGTGTTGGAAAGGAACTGCCTGTGTTGTTTTATTCTCCACATCCTTCACAAGTCTGAAACCTAGGAGAGTTCATTGAGTATTTTTTCCTCTGATTTTTAAAGGAAAAAGAAATTTTTATTAAAATCCGGGAACCAGAAATTACAAGGTTTTAGAGATCTGTGATTATTATTATTTTTTTAAAGATTACATTTATCTACCTGAGAGAGAGAAAGAGCATGAGTGGGGGGAGGGGCAGAGGGAGAGGGAGAAGCAGGCTCCGCACTGAGCAGGGAGCCCCACATGCTCAGTTCCAGGTCTCCAGGATTATGACCTGAGCCGAAGGCAGACGCTTAACAACTGAGCCATTCAGGCGCCCCAAAAAGGAGTGTTTTAAGAGACATGCATCCATTGAGAGTCCCTGTAGACCCCACAGAGCTGAGCAGGAAGGGGAGTGGGCTGGATTAGACCACCAGACTAAGAGTGAGTCTGATAATTCTGCAAAAGCACTCATCTGTAGTGCAGAGAATGGTTTCTTCTCCTGACTAACTCAGGGTGCCAAATACCTCAACCCCAGTCTTGGCCCCTTTCAAGTGGATGTTTTCTTGACCGCACTGACCCACCTTAACTGTTTTACAAGCTGTCTTATCTACTAGTATTGAGTCACTATTCTGTTTGTCACCATTATATTTAAGCACCTACATCCTTCTCAGGAAGCTTCTGAGTTCCCACCCTGGGTGTAGAGTTCTCTCTTCCTCTGACTTAAGTTTAACAGAAGGTTTATGGTATGGACCACCTAAGCCAATAAGTGACTCCCAAATTTCTCAGTGTTATAACAAACATTTTTGGATCTTTGGGGTTTTTCTGCTGTTGTTGTTGTTGAAAGATTGTATTTATTTGAGAGAGAGAGAGAGGCAGAGATAGCGAGAGAACACGAGCAGGGAGGAGAGGGAGAAGCAGGCTCCCCACTGAGCAGGAAGCTGGATGTGGGACTCAGGCACAGGACCCCGGGATCATGACCTGAGCTGAAGATGGACGCTCAATCGACTGAGCCACCCAGGTGCCCCCATTTTTGGATCTTTGTGAAAATCGTCTCTCCTCATTCTTCCTTTTTCTTACAAAAAAAATTTAACTAATTTTTAAAAATACATTTTTATTCTTAATTCAGCTTTTATTTTGAAATCTCATAAAGAATGTTGTGATAACATTTGGTCATTTCCCATATCCAAGGGTGATGTTAAGCACTTAAAAAGACTGATGTAAACCTGATACTTCTTACTGGTCTTAATTACTTAAATTTAAAATACACTATTGTTATATAATCTTTAACTACTGATTGGCCCACTTAATGTTTTACTGTATGCTTGACTGCAGGAAATCTTCACCGAACCAGCAGTGTTCCTGAGTATGTCTATAACCTACACTTGGTTGAAAATGACTTTGCTGGCGGGCGTTCGCCTGGTACTAAATCCTATGACATGCTAAAGGTAAGATACCAAAGAATAACCCTAGTTATCAGATTACTATGAAAACATTTTTAAACTTACATAGTTTTTTTTTAATTCTGTAGATTTTTATTTTTTTTAAGTAAGCTCTATGTCTAACATGGGGCTTGAACTCATGACCCTGAGATCAAGAGTCACATGCTCCACCGACTGAGCCAGCCAGGTGCCCCTTCTATAGATTATTTTTAATGTTTACCTTTCCCAAATATTGCCATTTCCTAAATGAATTATATGAGGATTGATTTTGTGTGGACCCCAGGGAAAACTGGAGACTTTATTTCTTTAGAAAGATTTTATTTATTAGAGAGCAAGCAAGCACAAGTAGGGGGAGGGAAGGGAGGGGGAGAAGCAGGCTCCCTGCTGAGCAAGGAGCCCGATGCAGACCTCGATCCCAGGACCCTGGGATCATGACCTGAGGTGAAGGCAGAGGCTTAACGACTGAGCCACCCAGGCGCCCCAAAACTCAGGACTTTAAGTAGTATAAATCCTAGTACAAATACCTAGTCAGCCAACTCTTTTTTTTTTTTTTTTTTTAAGAAAAGGGGCGAACTTCATGTGGTTCAGAAAAATGGACACCTTATGTAATAGGTGTCCTAGGTCTTTAACAAAGATGAAAACTGACTTAGGCCTCATTTAAACTTTGTTTCTCTGCAGACAGGCACCACTGGCACTTACGAAAGTCGCTGGGGGAGAGGAACGGCACAGTACAGTTCACAGAAGTCAGTGGAAGAAAGATCCTTGAGGCAGCCTCTGAGGAGACTTGAGATTTCTCCAGACAGCAGCCCAGAGAGGATTCATTACTCGCACGGCGATTACCAGTACGGCCAGAGAAGCCAGGCTGGGCAGGCTTTGCGGCACCAAGACAGCAGGAGATCCACCCTCCTTCTGCCGCCTCGATATGCTCGCTCAGAAATCGTTGGTTTCAGTCACTCCGGGGCCACAAGCAGACATCGCCACTATGACACTTATCACAGACAGTACCAGTACGGCTCTGTGAATGACACCGTGTTTGACAATGCCCCTGTCAACCCGGTGGTGCTCACGTACCCCAGGCCCGGGACCAGTCACAGCATGGGAAACCTCTTGGAGAAAGAGAACTGTCTGACTTCAGGGCCTGCCCCTGGGCACCTCCGGCCACTGGTGCCCCTGCAGGCCATCAGTCAGAACAGGGCTGCTCAGTCCTGGCACCAGAGCTCCTTCCACAGCACCCGCATGGGGCAGGAAGCGGGGCCCAGCGTCACTGTGGGTGCAGGCGGGAGGAGGACGCACATGACCGCTAGCCAAGTGGCAGCCTGCGGAAGTGGGAACCTGCTCCTGGAGAGAAGCACTTTCACCGACTCCCAGCTCGGGTGAGTTCCCCTCTCCGTCGGCGGGACGGCCGGTGCCCGCACATTCTGTTGCCACAGCCCTTCAGGGTGAGCTGGCACTTCTGGGGCTGCCGAGAGAGGCTTCCAGAGATAAGTGATTACAACAGTGACTTCTCAGGCGGCTGCCTGATTGACAGATGAGCCTGTCTACCTGAGGGACAGGGGCCAAGCTACCTGCTTCTATGGCAGGTTATGGAGAAATGTGACATGGAGTCCATCTGTTCCAAATTAGATGGTGGTTGGCCACCCCTTGGCTGTGTGAAAAATCGGCTCCGAACGAGAGCTAACTCCAAAGTAGGCCAAGAAACGGGTAATTGCACGTATTGTCTCAGTCTTCGAAATAAAGGAAGGAAAAGAGGAAAAAATGCGAATTGCTGGTGCTAAGAGTGAACTTCATGTGCTATTTTGATAACTACTGCTGTAAAAAGATGGAGAGCTGGAGAGCTAAGTAAGCAAAGGCAGCTTAATCTCTAGGTGTCTCTTTCCTTCTTTTGATACCTGATGCTTTTACTTTTTGATTCTAGCAGCAGTGATTTGGAGGGTATTTTTTTTTGGCAATACTGAATAATTAACCAGATTTTTGAAGTCATTCTTTTGCCTCTCATATTGACTTTCTGGCACGACCAATCTGATCTTTGGAACCTAAGTCTTACTCAGGTTTAATGCTGGAGTACAAATTTCTCGAACTGAGGAAGTTACTAAGAGAAAGGTTGAGAAACTGATTATTAGTAACTCCTGAAATAATGATGTAGTATCATTATGGTAAAACATTAAATACATGATTTTTGTTTTATTTCTAAAGTTGCTTGTTGCATGTTGTCACCTCTCATCATCCCTTTATGTGAAATTGTGCAGTGTATTCATTGACTGGGCAGGCACTGGTGATAAAAGATGTTAGGACTCATCTAGAAGCAGGAAGTTTTTAAAGATTTTTTTATTTATTTGAGAGAATGAGCATGCGGCGGGGGTTGGGGAGTGGGTAGGGGCAGAGGGAGAGGGAGAATCTCAAGCAGACTTCCCGGTGAGCACAAAGCCTGACTGGAGGGTGGGGGGTGGGGCTCGACCTCATGACCTGAGCTGAAATCGAGAGTCGGATGCTTAACGGACTGAGCCACCCAGGCGCCCCAGGAAATATTTTTTATGAAACAAAACTGAGCATGAGACTTCTAACATTTATTATAGAATGCAGATCTTTTTTTTTTTTTAAGTCCTAAAGCCTTTTATGGAATGTAGATCTTTGTCACTATGGACATACTTATAAAGAAGAAAATGCATGAGGTCATTATTTATGGAGGAAAAAGCTAATCAAGGCCTATAAGTGGATAATTTAAAATTTCTTAAACACCTGCCATGTTCTAGGATTTGTGCTTGGCACAGTTTTCACAAAGTGATTTTAGCAGTAACAACTCTCATGCCACATCCTCTGACAATTGTCATTCTTCTCTTCCTCCACCTCTGTGCCCCCATGCTTCTTGAGGCACCTGTCACTTCCCAATCTGTCATCACTCTGCTGCACTTTGGCTTCCATCCCCACCATTTAACCGAAGCATCGTCCTCACAGATGTACCAGTGACTGCTTTTTTGCTACATCCAAAGCAGACACGTATTCCGTCATGTTCCTCGGCCTTTGGGCAGCAGTTGACAGCACTGTCGGTGAAGTTCTCTCTTCCCTCGGCTTCCAGGGCACCAGCCTCTTCTGGTTTTCCACCTGCCTCTCAAGCTGTGTCTCCGTCTTCTCTGCGTGCTCCTTTTCTGCATGCCCAGAGAGGTCATCTTAAGTAACCCTCTGCTGAGTCTAGGCTCTCTTCCGGAGAGACCCATTTATTACATTCGTATCCTTGTGATTCCCTTGTGATTTTTTTTTTCAGAACTGTCCTCTATCCTGAGCTCTACTGAGATCTGCATGTATTTCTAGCAACCTCCTGGGCATCCCAAACTCAGTATATCAAAAAATAAATGTATTATTTCCTCCCTACCCTCTACTCCTAACCATCTCCTCAAACTGAAGTCCTGTCCCTTACAAACCTGGAAGTCATGCTTATGTTCAACGCCCCCCAGTCCCACATCCCTGTGTTTCAACCTCCCTAATGGGCCTTAAACTTTTACCTTCTGTCCATCTCCATTGCACAAATCTCTGTGCCTCTGGTCTTGCTCCCTCAGAACTCTTCTCTGACCCTTGGAATGATCATTCCAAATCTAATTCTTGCTCTGCCTCAGTTGTAACCTTTCCATAATTCCACCAAGTTTTCATACTTCCCAGCATGGCACACATGGCTCAGCCCGAGTTTTCACTTCTGCTTATCACTCCAGTCCTGTTCCCCTCCATGTTTTCTCACCACCACCCCCCCCACACACCCCCTATACAAACAAACCACTTGGAACCTCTTCACTTAACAGATATTCATTCGTGTATTGCCTTTGTCCCTTCTTTCTTCCTTCCTCCCACCTATCTATATCTATTTCCATCTCTGTCTGTCTCTCTCCCCCCCCCCACTCCCCCAGTAGCTCTGGTTTTGCCTGGCTCATGGTTCTGGATGTAGCTCAGGTCCTGCCTATTTCCTGATCACTCCCCTCACAATCTAGGTGCCCCAGATAGCTGCATGGTGTGGGTGTGTCTGCCAGACTAATGCATTGTGGTTGTTCGTTTCTTACGCCTTTCCAGCTGGACTTTGAACCTGTTGTGAATGTCTTATCTTTATATTCTCAGTACCCTAGAACAGAGGCAGGCCCATTATAGGCACTAAATAAATGCATGGTGAGAGATGAAAGAAGGAAGGAGGAAATGAAATATAAAATCTATACTTTTTGTCATCTAAGTTCTTTTGTTGCTTGGACTCTCGAAGAAGTATTAACTGTGCTATTTTGAGTTATCGTTTTAACGGACAGGGCAGATTTTATTAGAATAATTTATCCCATTTCAAAGAATAGAAGGAACACTTGAAGGTCAAGAAATTTAAAATAAAGAGTAAGAAATCTATTCTTGACAATTTCCAAAGTTGCCATACTAGAGACCAGAATTCATAAAAATGAACTCTTCTTGAAATTTTTGCTCTCTGTGTAAAAGGAGAAAGGGGGTCAGCGGTATTTCCAACAATGAGGAAAGTAAGTCCTCAAGGTGGAATCTCTGCCTGACGCCTATGTCTACGGTGTCCGCGTCTCTTCCCTTTGAGGTGTGCCCCATGGCAGTTCAGCTCCCGGGGCCGCCTCCTGAGAATCCTGGTTCCGGGACCCTGTGTTCTCCTTTGCCCTGCATTCTCCCATTTCAAAACTACCCAGCCCCTTTTTTTTTTTTTTTTTTAATGTCTAGTGAAAGTCCCACATGTAAAGAAGAGTTCTTTCCTATATGTGGAACATTCCTACAGAGTAGGTAGGTACAATCATAAACCTACATAATAACATAACGTATTAAGCAATGGATCTTTCTTTCCAAAAGAAGAATGGCCGGTCAGACAGTTACTAAGGCAGCTGAAAACCAAGACATTGGAGTGAAAAGAGAATCAATATCTGCTCTAAATCAGACTGATGAAAAAGGTTTAAGAAATTACCAAGTGAAACATTCCAGATCTGTTTTTCCGAAAATACGATTTTTGTACCTGTCGGGGACTGGTGGTTCAGCAAATGAATGTCAGGCTCCTTCCAGTGTACCCAGCGCTGCAAGAGATGGAAAATGGAATGGACTATATGAAGGTCTAGGACAGGATCGGTGAAAAAGAAAATAAGACACGTCATCAAGTGCTGGCTTATGGGAATTCAGAAAACAAAAGAGCATTGTGCTCTAAGATTAGTAGATGGAGCCTATGGAGAGAGATTGGATCCCTAGTAGGATTACCAATCAAGTTCATGACACAGAGAGGCACAGAGCAGAAAAAAATCTTCTATCTTCTCTTAATTACCAATGTCTTTAGTTCTTTGATTCTTCAGATATCTTTGAACTATATCTTTCTTTCCATTTCCATTTTTAACGGCCCAGTTCAAGGCTTTATTGCCCCGCTAAGACTCTTCTAGTTCCCTCAAAATGTTCTCTGGGAACACATATCCACACCAGAGGCATATTCCCAAAGCAGTGCTCTTTCATCACACTTAAATCTTTGAGAAGTGGGGGAATTTGTATTTCCTGAGCATCTGACAACACCCAGGAGCTTTCCATTCATCATCTCACATTGGTTTGGCCCTCTGAGATGTAGCCCTATTAATATATATAGTATCTGGGAACCATGCTGGGGCAGGGCTGCATTGTTAGTCAGCAAGAATGTTGGTTGCTGAAGGATTGCACACACAAAAAAGTACCATTTTTTATTTTTTTCTATATCATCTATTCTGACCAAAGATACTTTACACTGCTTCCTCTTGCATTTTTCACTTACATTGACATCATTGTAACATTATCTAAAGTTAAAATTAAGACCCAATTCTGGAGAACGTGTTCAGGTAATAACGGGGCCCAGGGGCAACTACTCTTCCTGACTGTCCTCTCCACCACCACCCCCCCGTCCGGCCCCATCTCACAAGCCACATTTCCACAGGCTTCAAGAAGTGTTTTGTGATTGAGTGGGAAGGGAAGTAGGAAGGAGGGAAGAAGAGAGAGAGAGGGAAGGAGGGGAGGAATGCTGTGGGAGGATAGAGGAGGAAATTCAGAAAAGCTCTAGCTGGGGATAGGGACACAGGAAAGCTTTCACAGAGCTGTTGATATACTTGAATTGAGTCATGAAGAATAGGTAAGAATGGGGTAGAACGATGGGCTTTCTGGAAAAATCAGAGCAGCTTATCAGGAGGCATGCAGTGTTGAGAGAAGGATTAAAGCTCAGTGTAGTTGGAGGATGGGGTAGGCGGTCAGAGGAGGGAAAGGAGGGGGTGAAAATGGCAAGGAGATGGAGCCAGACTGCGGTCAGAATGTATGCCGTGTTACAGAGCTGGACCTCACAGACACTCACAAAATGGAAAATTGACACCCTCACAGCTGTAGCAGACCCTCTTAAAGAGGA